AAGCCAAAACTATTACTGAAATACATTCAGAGGCAGAAAGAAATCTGGGACTACGTCCTGGTGCTACCGTCAATATCAGAAATAGTCGTGGAGTTGTGTCTGGTTCTGCTGGGAACACCAGCCCCGGGGGCTTTCCTATTAATCGACCTGGTTTTGGGGGTATGATGCCTGGCATGCCAGGAACCAGGAAGATGCCTGGTATGCCAGGAATTGATAATGACAATTGGGAGGTACCTAGGTCACGGCCTATACCAAGGGGCGGAGATGGATCGGGTACCCAACCTGCTGGACGTGGTGGCCAAACACCTTTGGTTGGCAAAGCACCAATGTTGAATGCAAGACTACTACCCCAGGGTACTGGTGGATCCATTAGTAACAAGACTAGTGCTCTATTGCAGGGTGCAGGTGCATCTACCACTCGTCCCGTTAACTTTGGTCCTGGCTTGGAGCCCTCTAGTCAGGTTCAAAAACCTGTTACGGCAGCAGCAGTCCTTCCACTTGCCGAGAAACCACAGGTTCCAGCTGCATCTTCCAAACAAGATGATCTTGAAAAGAAAACTCTCTCTCTTCTTGAGGAATATTTCAGTGTCCGACTTTTGGATGAAGCTTTACAGTGCGTGGAAGAACTCGTGTCACCAGCTTACCACCCTGAGATTGTAAAACAAGCCATATCCTTAGCACTAGAGAAAATTCCACCCTGTGTTGAAGCAGTTGTTAAGCTTCTGGACTATTTACTTTCCAAGAAAGTTTTTACAGCTGGAGACATAGGGACTGGATGTTTGCAATACGCTTCTGAGATCGATGACGTGGGCATCGATTTACCAAAAGCACCAATGAATTTTGGTGAGATAATTGGGAAACTTGTCATATCTGGTGGTTTGGATTTCCAGGTGGTGAAGGAGGCCCTTAAGAAGGTGGAAGATGACAGGTTCAGGAAAGATATATTTGATGCTGTCTTGAAGGCAGTTAGTTCTAATGCGTCTGGGCAAGGATTATCAGATTCGTTGGAGTCTGACATCGAGGCATGTCGAAGCCTGGCATATTAACGCGTCTCGAGTTCTCTTCTTGCTCTTAGTTTTGTCGCGGAATGTCTCGCTTCCTTTGCCCTCTCATGTGACAAACAACCTGTATTTCATTATCTGATAAAGGTGGCTACAAAGAACAGGTAATTTTAATTGAGTTGTATATTTTTTTGTTGGGAGTCTGTAGCAAGTATGTTTATTGAGAGTGAAAATCAAACCCCATAATGCCATGGATTTTGCTCTCCAAGCATGGCTAAATCATGTGGCTGAATAACTCAAAGAGTGTCCCTTCAAGGGGTCCTGTTATTTTATATTTTTTTTAAAATGTTAAATTTGTCATTTTTTATTTTTTTATTTGGCTTGTTGACTACTAAATTTGGCTAGTTTATATTTATGCATCCATTTTCTACTTTCTACAAGTATGAGGAAATGGATTTTCTTTTGCCTTTTGCTTTTTTCTTAATAATTCGGGAAATGAATCTTTGGATTTAGATATTTTCTTTCATACTAAGTGGACCTGGAAATAAGTGATTGTACTTATTTTGTATGAGTGCTAAAGATTATTCTTGTACTTAATCTCTTTTTCACCTAAAAAGAGAATCTCTTTTGTTTTTTTTTTTCTTTTTATTCTTCAAAATCATAAATATTAATGCCCAGTTGATAGTGATTGAGTTTTTAGTTTCTGAAAATTATGTTTGCTTTCTTACCTTTCAATTCTTAGCTAAATTTTGAAAACAATGAAATTATTATATGAATTTATATTTATGTGATTGGAAGTTGTATTTCTATTTCTTTTTTCAATAAAATACTCAAATTCCAAATGCACATAAAAATTGGTAATTGAAGTTGGTGAAATTAAAATTGACCAAAACTTCTCGCTCTCAAACAAAAATTTCCCTTGTGTGTATATAATATTGTAAACGACTTCTCCCACCAAACAAATTAGCAACGTATTAACAATACACGTTTCTTACCGACTAATTTAAAATATGATTTTTCGTGGACAATCTGCAAATTCGATCGCACTGATTTTCCCACTGAAGAAGGAAACTTCGAAGAATCAATAAACTTTCGATTTTCCGGGAAAATGGTTTGGGAAAGGAAAAAGAAGACCGAGATTACGCGGGTCTCCATGGTCAAACGCTCCGAAATTGAAATTCATCTTCACAAAGAGTCTTAAATTTATATAAATCTATGCGATTACACACTTCATCTCCATACTCTGATAGTCTGATTCCGTTCGCTCATCAACAGAAGATCGAATTGGATTTGCCCTAGCCCTACACAGATGGCTGCAGTTAAACCCTTCGTTTCGATAGCCCTAATTGCTCTTCTCTTGTTTTCTGAATCCCTCGCTGTTTCGTCCGCTGACTACGGCCCGGATTCGAATTCCTTCACCGGAATACTCCGCCGGAATCTGCTCCACCCATCGGGGCGTCGGCGGGAAGATAATAGCGTCGGCTCCAATTTGGCCGAGAAGATCAGTATCAAAAGGGGGGTTCGATCCGCCGTAATTGCTGGTCGTGCCAGTGGATCGCCGTCCAGCCGGGCACCGCCCTTTCATTTTGGGTCTCTGCTCTGTTTCTGCATCGCCTTTGCGTCTGTTTTGTTATTGTGATTTTGTGCAAAATTCGTTTGATTATTGGAATGTAATTGGGATGCTGATTATACTTACAAATCAACAAAATCATATATACTCTGATTAGATATTTTTTGTTAAATTATAAATTTTTCTCCCACAATTTTAAAAAGATTTCAAGGTTAATTAAAAATTTAGTTCTCTCACTAAATAAGGAAAAAAAAACTTTTAATTTTCATAATATATAACACACACAAATATACAAATATTAAAGGAAAGAAATCAAGGCTTATTATAAACTTTTTAAATTAAAAAAATTGAATAGATAATACAAAAGTCATTTATAAATCCCACATGTTATATGTATAAAATAAAGTTAAAAGAATATAATTGAAAGCTTGTAGATTTTTTTTTGTTTTTTTTTTCCTGAGAAATTAACCCTATAGCAATTATATTTTAAAATCAAACTTTCTATATTAGATCAAAGCCGTTTGAATTGTAATAATAGAAAGTTCCAAATAAAAAGAAAAAAGAAAAAAACTCAAGAACATTTAATGAATATTGAATCAATTCTTTCTTAATTTGGACCTAAAAAGAAAAGAAAAAAAAAGGAAAAAAGAAAAAAGAAAAGAGAACCTATGAAATTGTACCTCCTAATCTTAGCTCCTTCCCCAATCTCCTTCAACAATGGGGATCGCCAATTCCATCCCTTCCGCGCAGAGGATCTCCATCCCTCCTCTGCAATAAAATCACATTTATCGCCATAGCCATAGCCATAGACATCGCCATGGCCTCGCTTAAACCTCTCCAATTTCTGCTGTTAATGGCGCCCCTTCTCCTCGCCTCTCAGCGTCAGCCCCACTCCATCTTCGCTCACGCTCACGCACAGACCGGCCCCTATAATCTCCCCCAAGAAACAGCCTCCAGAGGCGCCTCTTCGTCGGAGACGCATCTTCCTCTGTCTCACAGCGAAAAAGCCAACAATAGCAATTCCGATGCGGTTGAACGCACGAACCTAATCGCCATCCGACGCTTCAGATCCCATCGCGATTCCACGAGAAGACAAAGAAGACATAACCGCCGACGCGCTTACCGCCATTCCAAAGCCTTCATTCCGGCCGTCTCTGTGCGGAGCGTTTGCGTCGCGATTGCTTCGTCGATACTGCACAATCTGGTTTCTGTTAACTCGTATTGAGAAAGATTTTTGGATACATTTTTTCTTCTTGCTGTTGAAGATCATATGAGGATGAAGCTGAAGCTGAAACTGAAACCTAGCGGAATCGTTCCTTCAGCATCGTCTGTCTGCGATTCGATTTGAAGTTTTGTTTGGTCGGTTTGATCAATGATCATGAATTTTGTTCTCCGATAACTTTTTGAAGGGGAATATCACAAGTGGGGGCGGATATTATGGTTCTATGGCCAACAAAAGAAGGAAAGGAATCGAATTCTTTGTCTTCTAAAGTGACTCATCTGATTTTGCAAGAGAAGATTTTCCATCTCTTACTCTTCCTCTCTAAGAACCCTATCCCTTTGGAATCATATCAAAAGTAAACACAATACTTTGCTTTCTTTTTCCATTACAACTTTCGGTTGATTTTCATAGGTTCATAGATTCCGATTAATCCACATTTACATATTAATAAAAAAATTGACAAAATATAAAATATATCGACAAAATATTATTAACATAAATATAGAAATGTCGAGCTAATAATTGACATATATCTCCAATAAAAATTTGTGAATTTGATCCCCACCTCCACGCTGTACTAAAAAAACATAGACATAGAGATTAATATTAATAATTCTTTTAACTTTATGAAATAGTTATTTGTTATGAATTTTTCATTTTTATTAATTTTCAAGAAATATCTCCCGTGGACTATGGTTTACATTTTATTGCTATTTCCATTAATTTGAGATGAGATCTCACGTAATTAAAATCTTTGTTGATATAGATATTTTATTTAATTAAACTATTTTCCTTCTTTGTATCTCCATTATCATCTATTAAATTGTTCAAATTTGTTCTTTAAAAGTATATTGGATACTAAAATTCAATAATTTTATTATTCACTTGTTAGGCATAAATTTAAACTAACTTTTTTTTTCCCTTAAAAATTTAAACTAACTTCTTTCTGACTAATCTCTTTGATTTACACAAATTTCTTCCAACATAAGTTTTGTTTACTAACTTTTTTCTACCAGAAATTTCACTCTATTTCTATTCACATTTTCTATCGCTAATCATGTGAATATTCTTTTCTTCATAATTGAACTTTCGAAAGTCAAAAGACACAGACTTTTAAAGGAAAAAGATGAATATAAAGAACAACGACGCGGTAGTATCTAATTTTCTGTGATTAGTTAATTTTACTTGGTCAAAAATCACCTCTAGGTCCATGTAGTATAATTGCAATTTAATCCCTAAATTTTAATTTGTAACGATGTAATTGTATTTTAAATGTTTAACGATTTAGTTGTTGATGCTAGAATTCTGCCTCCCGAGATCTTGCCGAATTCACACCAATCTTCAAGAACATAGGGATTGATGAGACTGCAAAATAGTACAACACTATGACTGATGTGGCTTTTGCCACACGGGCTCCGATGCCTAAGTTAGTATCGGAGTAGTCGGGTCTAAATAGTAGGGTTATTAGGCATACTTCTAGGGTACCCTCTCCCATCAAACATAGAAAATGGTGGGATTTGGTACCCTGGTGGATAAGGAACGGTTTCATGATATGGAGGATATGGACCGCGATAAGGCTGGATTGTTCCTGCATTCTTTGGGCTTTTTAAACGGAGTTTTTCAAAAAATTCTTCTTTAGTTTAGTGACAAATTGTGCGGAAGTAGATGGACCTGCCTGAGCTGGTCTTGTGCAGCTGGAATCTGAGGCGGAAAAGCGGGAGGTGCAGAAGTGAAAGGAGTTGAGGTAGCTATCAGTGATCAGCTGAACCCTAATCCTCATAGGTTTACATTTGTTGAATCCTTATACACTCAAGAGATCATAGAATGTGCCTCACGCTGTACTATTCAGGGTCGAGACCAAGTCAACTCGGACTGAGCTTGCACGGGGGTCGACCCTGGGTCAGCTACGGCCGGCCTGGGTCGATGGGCCCCGACCCGCTTACCTCTCTCTGGGTCCGCTCCTTCTTCGGCTCTCTTTTCTCTCTTTGGTTGCTTAGCCTAATCTCTATTTTCTCTTTATAACAATAGTTTTTATACTTTAGTAGGTAACAATTTAACCCTCATAGTTTAAAATTTGTATCGATTTAATACATATCGTGAAAAATGTTATTAGATTTTAATAGAGTTTCTTATATATGTAAATCGGTAAAATTATAATGAGAAACCAAATGTATTTATAAACTATCAAGCTTGAATTATTACATAATAAAAATATGCAATTAATTTTGATGAGATTTCTAACAGTAAAGACTCCATTGTTGAAAATTTAAATTACATGAACTAAATTATTGCATATTAAAATTCAGAGAAATACAAGAATTAAATTGTTACAAACTGAAATTAAATGATTGAATTGTGACGTCAATAAAAGTACAGAAATGAAAGTGCTTTTTAACCCTTTTCATATTTTGGAAGAGAATAAGATAAATGTTATATTCTAGGAATATGATTTTAGTGAGACCATATTTCAAGAATTTAATCCAATCCAATCCCCAAAACTGTTATATTCTATTAAACTTATATTCTACTTTCTTTTGCCAAACTGAGCATAACTCAAGTGATTAAGACACTTCCTCCCACCGCATAAATCTTTTTATTCTACTTTCCTTTTGGATGACCTATTTAAATCATAATGTGAAAAGGAAAAAAAAGAATCACAATGGAAACCCATTAACGCCACGAATTAAATTTAACTAAGATGCAAGTTTTTCTTTTCCTTTTTTCCTTGGAAAAAAGAAACATGATCTGTGAGTATATATTCCAATCCATAGATGTCTAGAACGAACCTATTACTTCATAGAGGTTGCTGTTGATTCAACTTTTGAGTGGTTAAAAACAGGCAGTTTCATAACCCTCCATTTGGCAGAGAAGATTGAGTTTGAGCCACCAAAATCAATCCCCATGAGCAAATTAGGACTAATAATTTTGCTCCTCATCTCCATTGATCTCTCCCTCCCAATTTGCCATTCAGCTGAAACCAATTTCACCATCAAACCTGAGGATCTCTATAAGCAGCAGCTGAAACAGGGGAGACCTACAAAAGGTAAGAAATCTTATGAAATGTTTTTAAAACAAATCGTGAGAAAAGCTTATATATTGTGCTGTGTTGAATAATTATGATTTCATTTTCTGGTGCAGATTTAGAGGGCGAGAGGAAGGAGAGTGAAGAAACAGGTGCCGGAGCTACGGCGGGGAAGATGATGAGAGCGAGAGGAGTGTACGGCGGCGCGAGCGACATGCGGCGGGGACACTCGAAGAACGACGCTACCTCTCTACGGATTAAATCAATTCCTTCATCGTTTTGGGAAGTTTTATGTGTTGTTGTCGTTGTTACGGCTACAGGTTTGTTTTAAGTGACAGTTGTGTGTTGTAGCAGAACAGTGAGTCTGAGAGATGGATATTTATGTAAAAGTTAGAGAAATTAAAAAATCGTAAAAAATATTTAAACTAACGAATAAACATTTTCTTATTTCTTAAAAATAATTAATATTAATATTATGTATATATTAGTAACACTGTATTGGTATTTTTCATACTTTGTCGATTTTTTTTAATGAAAATATTGATTTACTCTTCATATCGATGTCGAACCCCATGAAAACATACGTGTAACCATGCTAACAACATTCTTGTTCTCAAAATTTTTCTTTAATGTATTTCAAGATTTGAGAGAGAGCTTCTACAAAATTTAGGTGTGTTTTGTGTGGTTTGTCCAACAATATTTTTCTTTAATGTATTTCAAAATTTTCTTGAACTACTTTTGACTAAAAGTGTTTTTAGATGATTAAAAACACTATTTAAAAATTTAGTCAAACACTATCAACTTTAGAAAAGAATCACTTTTAATTCTTCCCAAGAATTTTGACATGTTAGACGCCTGTCTTTGAATAACTGTATTTAAAGAAGATAAGACTCGGATCAAGATAAACCATGACTATGGTAATGGTGTTGGTGGGGTTGATTTTGGACAAGGGGTTTTGGTAGCAGTGGGTATTACTTTTATTGAGAATAGTTTCGTTTTAATTGATCTTAGTATCCTCACCATTCCAATTTTCATCTCACACATATTGTTTGAATTAAAAAAAAAATTAATTGCTATACATGCAAAAGTTAAATAAAAATAGTTTTTCTTTTTTTTTTTTCATTTTTAGGAATACTACATTCAAATGCGGGTAAGAGTTTGAATTTAGCCATAACAATTGAACTCTATTCGGAGTTAGAAAAAACAAATAAGTTGACAATTAAGAAAGATGAATACATGAACAGATAAAATGAAATAAATAGACTATAAATTAGGTAAGAAGATGCCTACCGGTAAGTACATAAATTTTATCCCAAACAAAATGAGACTTGCATTTCTCTTTTTCAGTGCTACTCGCGTGAAAATAGAATGCAGTAGTTTGATTTCTTCTTTTCAGTATTTAAGTAATTAAATAATTCTTGTATGGAAACATTTTATTACTTCATGTTTGTTTGCTCTTGATATTACAAATCAAAAATCATGTTGTAATGAAGTCATATGAATGAAAGATAATTGAACGATCTAGTAAAATCTTTGTTGGCCTCACTTACCTGTCGTTGGTCACTATATTACATGAATGAGATGTATTGTAATTAAATTATTAGCAAAAATTTAACCAGGGCATAAACATTACTTCATTTACTTCCACACGTTTTGTGAAAGAAAATTTGAGACAAATAATCTGTTTTTTCTCCACACAATATACCTAGCTGGACTCGAAATGACATAAATCTTATGCATCAATGATAAATTGCTTAAAACTTATTATATAACTGGCTCATACTTAATAATGAAGCAAATAAATATTCACAAAAGCAAGCATAGTTTAACGATAATTGACTAATTAAGAGATTCTGAATTCGATCTCTAACCTCCGTTTAAACCCCACTTATAAAAAACTAAATAAACATTCCACTCTTGAGAGTCAAACTCTAAGTTGTCTTGTAGCTGCTTACTGATTACTCCCCCAACACAATAAATTCAGAGTTTCAGCAGCACCCTATTGGGTCTCCTTTTTATACACAGAGTAGAGTACAAACCCATTTATTACAAGAAAATAATAAAGAATTTAAACAAAAAGTATACAAAATAGTACATCCCAAATAAATTCATTGGTTTGTTGGGAATTTGTTAAGAGCTACGTGGCTCCACTGTAGCCTTTCAGATTTTCTTTGGTGAAATTCCTCCTTTACACTCCAATCCAATTCCAAAGTAACTTTTATTAGATGATCATGAGTTTGATAAACTTTCAAATTCCTTGGACAATTAATGACTAAAACACTGTGAACTGAAGGGTTAATTATCCTATCTACCCCAATCTAGCCTTAAATCACTGAGATCTGATAAAGAAAAGAGGAGAAACTTTAAGTGGGGTGGGGCCTCCTTTTCTTATGCTACGATTTCCCTGAAAACATTATCCACAAATCTATGAAATTTAAAATGGATCGAATTCCTGTGTAAATTCAAATTGGGAGCGGATCATCTCTAGAGGGCAGCCTATAGGCCGGGTCTTTGGTCTTCGCCTAATTTTCTAATCCAAGGTTCTGATTCGAGCTAGATTTCTATAATCAAGGTACCAGAAAATTTCAACACAGCTGATATTTCTTTAAGCGAAGATAATCTAAAATTCCACACGGTTGACCTCAAATCGGATGATGAACGAACCCTAAATAAATTTCACATTTAACAAACAAATAGTGATCGTGCATTTTCTGAAAGATAAATTCCTCCCTCAGGAAGGCAAACTCAGCAACAAATACAAGGGATTGGCGGTAGAAGAACACGATACAGATGATCAATCACACACTGAACAGTTGGAATTTCGATAAATTAAATTACAGCAGAGCACACAAATGGTATAGAGGCAAAATACCTAAAGAATCTAGGCCAGCACATACAGAGGACGCCTATATTCATCGAAGTACTGATCGCGATCAATGAAAACGATGGCATACAAGGCGTAGATTATTCCAGGAATATAACCGAGAAACGTCAAGAGAAGGCATATACAAAACTCAACCTGCAATTACAACAATCGTTAATCAGAATCTATGCAATTAATGAGAGTAACAGAAATAAAAGAGCGAAGAAGAAGAAGAAGAAGAAGAAGAAGAAAAGAATCAGAAGCTTACAGTACAACATCCGTGCCTGAGGCAGACGCCCAAAGGAGGAATCAAGATAGCGATGAGAATCTCGCAGAAGATCTCGCAGCGAGAAGGCATGTTTTAATGGCGTCTGAAGAATCAGAAGGAGAACTGAAGATCGAAGAGAAGGGGAAGACGAAGGTGGGCGGCGACAGATCCAAAATGGAGAAACAATATAATTAATAATTTATGATGGAAAAGACTTAAAAAGACGTATTGGCTGGCTATAAGCAGTACATGGGCCGGTGGGCCTACCCTTATTGGACAGTACAGCTTTATCATTTATACCTTTTGATTCTCAAAGATTTCAAAATTTTGAAATCTTGAAATAAATTTGTTTTGTTTCCATTGAAATTACAACATAAAAATTAAATTACAATATTAGTCTTCGAGGGTCCGTTTTGTAACATTTTGGTATAAAGTGAGAACATGGTAATTTGATTCTCGTGAGTTACAACACACTATTTTTCTTTTTTGATAAAATAATTTATATTTTTTAAATGAAACAAAAATTGTTACCAAACGTATAAGAAACGAGTAACGAGAAAATATAAAGTGAGAACATTACCCAACTGGCCTTAACTTTTTAGATTTTTCAAGTTCTTAAATTTTAAGAGTGTCTGATAAGTTTATGAAGTTACAAATTTTGTGTTTAATAGATTCCTAAACTTTTAAAGGTATCTTAGAAACCTCCTAAACTTTGAATTTTGTGTCTTATAGTCTTTGGATTAATTTTAAAAATTTTAAAATTTTACAGGATTATTTGACACGAATTGACAGAACATTAAATTCAATATCTAATAGATTTGTTTCTTAAAAAATGTTGAATAGGTCGGTGATTTATTAGACACAACTTTGAAAGAGGGACCTATTAGCTACTATGTTAAAAATTTATGGACGAAATTTACCAAAAAGTTAAATTTTTTTTCTTCTTAAATGTTTGAGCCACTCATATTCATCTTAAATCTTAATTTTAAATAAGAGGTGTGAAAGTAATATCTTTTTTACAAGTTGGAGTTTTCAATTTTAAAAATTTTGTCATTTTACTATAAATGTTCTAATAATCTAACAGCGCAATGTTTATGCGTGTTAGATCATCTACTTGAATTTTTTTTTTTCAGAAAAAGTTTATCTAATTGTATTAGATTAGATGTTTGTTTTTTTTAAGTGAAGTTCATATATTATTGTGTGGAGGTTAAATGATTTAATGACGTGAAATTTAGTTTAACTAAATACTAACATTAGTAATTAGTATTTTAAACTCTAGGTTCTCTACATCAAAATTCAAAACTTAAATTGACTCGTTAGTTAAAAGTAAAACAAAAACATTTACTCTAACAGGAGAAAAAAAAAGAATTGAAATCCAAATTTATTCTACATGTAATGTTGAGAGCCACAGAACTTGCACTATCCGAAGAGTAGGGAGTGCCGAGTTTGAAGATCAGGTACTTGCACGTATGTGTGAATTTGGAATCATTTTTAGTAGAACATGTGGGGTGGTAGAGATCGAACTTACAATCTCGTGGTTGGAGATATATGTCAATTAACGCTGAGCTATACTCGCTTTGGTGTCTGAATCTAGAATCTTAAACACTATAAACTACCAATTCGATTACTTACTGACTTAGCATTAAAGTGCTCACGTATATATGTTTTGTAGGTTTGTGTATTCAACGTACGACTCTCTTTGAGTTCGTGGAAGACTTTGGATTCAACCGTTAGCATAATTTTTGTGTTCCGTTCAATTAAAAGAAGAAAAAAAAGATACAATTAGTTTATCTAGAAAGAATTTATGGACATGGTTTTTTCGCCTTTCCCTATATGTACATGAAAACTTTTTTTTCTTACCTCTGTAATATTATATCTCCTTAAAGAAAAATCCTCCAAATTGTAGCTAATCAATGAAATCAGGACCCAATATCCTGTCTGACAAGCAGAATAGGGACTGATTCTTTTTAAGTACCATATTTTATATGCTTTTGCTTAATTCCCTATTTAGACTAGTATTCTCCTTAAGTGAAATTAAGTATGAGTTTGGAGTTGCTTGTGTTTTATAGTCTTTTTGGTACCTAAAGATTTCACCTAGTTTTAAATTTTGTTGATATGAAGTAGAATTTATTTATTCCAAATTGTGTTTATACGTTTAAAAAAATTCATCTAAATTGTCCAATTTGGCAGGTTTTCAAATAATTTTGAAGTAAATTACTTATTAATATTGTCCTATTTTAATTTCTAATTAATAAATTTAGATTAAAAGTATTTTTTTTAATTTTAAAAATGTTCCATCCAAACAAACAAAGGAAATTTAATTATAGTCATTTCAAATTATTCTGAGTTTCCAAACAAGATAAAGAATTTTAAATCATTTTTCGACATTTTTTAAATTTTGTTGATGCCAATCGGAGGGTTAAATAAATGAGTTTGTGTTTGGATTTCCTTAGGAGTGTCAAAGCTATACTCGAACACAGGCATCATAGTAGAGGATCATGCACTTGATTTTATTAATTAGGATTGTTATAAGAAAGAAAACAAACATTAATTAGATTGACTAACACCCATAATTTTTTTTTTTTTGAAAAGTTGTGACACATTTTTAAGGTTGAATTGCACAAATCACCATTAAAATATGAATGATTGTTGCAATTTTACACCCATAAACTTTCAATTGAAAAAGAATTGTATACTAACGGGTAAAAATTAAATTCTCACATTTGAAATAGTTAAATCTATAGAAAATACTTTGACTCCTCCCTATTAAAGTAGCAACTTTCTTCTTACTACAATTCACTAACTCAAAATTTTTTTCTCTGGTCAAATATTTAATGGTGGCAAGAACAAGATTGCTCCAGTCAAATTTTATCCAATTAGTTTTAGTTCCTTCTCCATTCTCTCTCGGAAAATACTTTACTCCTCACATGTAAGAAGTAACTTTGTCGTTACCACCATATATCTGACAATTAAGAGAGAGAAATGTAAAAACAAAAAACGTTTTAAAAAATAGTGAAATGTCAAATATTTAATGATGACAAGGACAAGGTTCTTCCATACCAGTGAGGAGCAAATATTTTCCTTCTCTCATCAATAAAACTTAACACCTCTAAGCAACAATCTTATTCTTACCACCATTAAATATTTAATAATTAAAAAATATAAAAATAAAAATTTATTTTAAAATATAATCAATTTCAAATATTCAATTGTAATAGGAACAAATTGATCATGAAACAACTTTTATGATTCTCTCTCCTTGCTTTCCATACTCTCTCTCCCCTTCCTTCTCCATTCTCTCTCAACTTACCCTCTCATTGCTTTCCATCCTCTCTCCCCTTCCATTATTCGACTGGTTGAAGCTTCGTTTTTTCTTCCCATTTCTTTCTCTCCACCATTATCAGGTTTCAACTCCAAACTTTGAAGTTGCTGAAGAAGCTGCCCACAAATCTCGCAGTTACTTGCTGGACAAGGGCCCCACGGGTGCAGAAAAATTTTACAGCCACTTTAAAACCACTGTCAGGTACCATATAAATTCCACTTTTCTTTGAGCTATCTATAATAGCTACAACTGCTGTCAATCGTTTTTTTTTTTTCCTATCTTTTTAATCTTGAACGTGACAAAAAGATCTATTGGCGATATTAAAAAAAAACACCACCAATGTTGCTAATGATGAATCCAAGTGAGAAAATTACCGATTGTGAAGAAACGGAAAAAATAGGTTAAAATTGAAGCATTTTCGAGAAAATAAGCTCCAAAAATAACAATGGGAGGGAGAGAGAGAAAGTTGAGAAAGAGGGAGAATCAGAGGTTTTAATGAAGCGTAGTACGATACCAGAAAATAAAATAAAAATTAGTTTTGGTTTTTCCATATTAGGCAATAATGAAACAGTATGTTCAGTAGTTCTTCATCACAAGTAGTCGCCTCTTTTTCTGCTCTCTCTCTCTTCCAATTTTCACTTTAATTTCTTCATTGTTGTTCTCTTCGGCAGCGATGGATTTCAGGTTCGGAGGCATGGATAATGAAGCGGCGGCCGCCGGGCCTTCAAGTTCCAGATGCTCCTCCAGCTCCGAGGTTCGTAATTACAATTTATGAAGCTAATTTTGTGTTGTTTTAATTAATTTCTTCGTTATTGATCGATTTATTCTGTGGATTGTTTGAGCGCAGAGGTGGTGGAACGGCGGGTTAAAGAAGAGATAAGGATTAGAGAGATGGCTTGGCGGCGGAAGGTGGAGGTGGAGATTAGGAGGGAAATAATCATGGAGCAAGAACTAGCCATTCTTAGGGCTGCTGAACGAACCCTAGATGATGAACAATTTTCCATGAAATCGAGTGGACAAAGAATGCTTAATCAGTCGAATTCGTCGCCACTTCGATTTCTGGAACCCCCAAAAGAGGCTACGAATGATGAGGAAAAGGACAAGCCAATCCTTCTGGTTAGTCCAATACATATATCAACAACTCTACAATTTCTCTCTCTAGTTTTGATGGTTAAAATCAAAAGTTCGTTGAGGAGCGATTTTAACGTGATCAAAATCATTTTCAAAAATTAACTATCTTCTCTTTTGATTTCATTCATAGAAATCCACTGCACTCTAATTTTATATATAAGATGTGTAGTCAAAAATTAATTTGTTCAAAGACAAAAATTTTTGTGATTATGATCACATAAATTTGCTAAATGTTTGAATTAATATCTGTTTACTTTTTTTTGCCACAAACAAAATACTGATTTCAAAGTTGAATAAATTCAGTTTTTTATTACAAATTATATATAAAATTGGAGAATACATGTATTTTTATGAGTGAAATAAAAAGAGAAGGCAATAAGGTATTTATGTGTACTTTTTTTTATCATATTTGTCATTAATTTTAGAAAGTTTAAAATCCTATCAACGATTTTGAAAAATCAATTATACTTTAATCTTTTTTTTAATTACTAATTCTACCTTCACTCTCAAATATCCTCGTTGAAACGAAACACATTCATTAAAACATTCCTTTTATGGTGCGGGTGTGGAAATTGCAGCCAAGGCCAAACCCACAACGATTCGAAGCCAAGCGGAAAGCCATGAGACCACCTACAGAAGCCGAGGCAGAGGCTGTCGGTACCGAACCCAAGCCGCCATTTGGCTGGATTTTGAAGAAAGCCAAGAAAGATGAGGAAGATAATTTTTTCTGTAAGACGTGCAAAATTACAACTTCGAGCCAGACAAGTTTCGATGCCCATTTGCGAGGCAAAAAGCACCAAGCAAAATCAGAAGCAAGTAAGAAAGTAGTAGAGAAGATCACAGTGACCCCTGTGGAAGAAGAAGAAGAAGAAGAAGAACTTGAAGAAATTAAACCGGGCCCTGAAATTGAAAACAAGGGGTTCTTCAAATTCTGGTGCGAAATCTACCAAATTGGAACTCAGAGTATGATCGTTATGGAGAATCAAGCACAAAACTCGCCTTCTCAAACTTGCATGGGGACACCACAACATGAACCAAATCCCATCGCCTAATTAAAGGTACCCATGCTTTTTTTTCTTCCTCTTCCAGCTGTTTGCATAATATATATTCATACCATTATGATTTTTATCCAATTTTAACCTTTTTTTTTTTAATTGTGAGATGGATTTAGTATCATACCATTATATTGTTGTTTTCAAAGTATTTAATTATAATGAAAACGGTTGATTTTGAAATCATTTATAAAATGACAAAACTTGACTCATCACTATCCAATATTTGACAACTCATTTATTTTAAAATAAATTTTTGTTTATACATTTCTCTCTTGTCAAATAATAGTAGTAAGGTGTCAATTTCATTTTTGTAACAAATACTACAATATTAATTAAAAAAAAAAATCCCCCTGTTCAGTTCAATTTTCTCACTGCCCCTTAGTTTTAATTATCAGTTTTTTCTTTTCTTTGATGATAATTGCACACCAAAAGTTATTGGTATTGTGTCAGTCAGTCAAAGGTAATTTTTAAAATTTGCTTTTCTTAACTTAACAATTCAACAGACATATCGTTAAAAAAAGAAAAAGAAAAAAAGGGTTCAACATACAGATGTATGTATTGTCATGCAGCTCTGATAAAGTTTAATGGTAAAATATATTTCAGTTGTTTAGTCTTGAGAGATTTTTTTTTTTTTAGAAAAAAGGTTTAAAAAGTTTTCCTTTACGCTTTAATATATGTTTATAATATATATATATTACAATTTTGGTATCTAAGAATTTAGTAAGAATTCTTTGGTTATAAGTTTCAAAACCTGACAATTTGATCTCAACTTTTAGAAAATAGTTATAACTGGTCATTCGAATCAAAATACTATTAATAACACTAATAGAATTCTTACATAGAATTTTAGGCATTACATGTCATTTGTTTATTTGTATTTTTAAATGAATGACACATCGTTTAAAAATACAACACTAAGAGATGTCACCTAATGTCTAAAACTTCTACTTCAGCATTCTGTTAGTGTTATTAACCGTCATTTAACTCCAATGACCATTTAGAACTATTTTCTAAATGTCGGAAATTAAATTATCGGTTTTTGAAGCTTAGGACCAAATAGAATCTTAACCTAAAATTTGGGGATCAACTTACCTGATATCATTTTTAGTATTTTCTTAGTACCATGATTATTGATATGTTGGAACAAATTTAGAGGAGAAATTAGGTCAAAGAATTTTAATTCCTCTTTCAAATTTCTAAAAATTAACCAAAATATCTATTTTTATCCTTGTACTTAATATTTGTTCATTTAAATATCTGTTTCGTCTTTATACTTTTACAATAAAGTGACAATTTTAGTCTCTCTTTACAAAATTTATACACAAAAGAAACTCCTTCATATAAATTTATGATTACTTTCAAGAAATTAAGTGAGTGAAGTGTCATTCTAAATTTTTTATCGAAATAAATACGAAGAAGCCAAACTGGTTACTTCTTAAAGCACAGGGACAAAAACTAAGATTTAAAAAGTACATGGATTAAAATAAATAAAATTATAAAATATAAATACTAAAATAGATATTTCAAAATAAAGAGTATTTAAACCTCATAAATTTCAATGAAATATGCAGATCATATGTTTGGATATTAAAAATCATTTTAAACACCCATGGGTTTTAATTTTTAGCTTATTTTATTCTTCCGTTAAATTGTACCATTAGTTTTTCATATAATATCCATGTTCATGGATTATATGCTAAATGGATCCATGTGTTCTATGAAGAAGTAATGGCCCAATTGGACTAAATAGTCAAATAAGCTAAAAAATTGAACTATATTTATGTCTAAAACCATTTTTAATATATAAAACATGATTTTGTAGATTTTATGGAAAAAATACACTAAGTATATGGTTTAATTGTCTAATCTCATAGTTCAATTAATTAAGGCCTTGTATATATGTCTTGAAGGTTATATGTTGCAAATCTGAACTCAAAAAAATATATGTTTGACTTCCTTTTTAGAATTTTCGATAAAGTTCAATTTTTTTTTTAAACTTAAAACGTTCCATTTAGTCTTTTATGTTTAACATTTTATAATTATATATATATTTTTTTCTGTGGGTGGATTTTAAATGTATTTAATACAAACTTAATAGAAATTTGGAGGAAGAATTAAGGCACTTAAAAAAAAGAAAAAAACATTCAAATATCAGGACTTAAAAAATATTAATTTAAATTGTTAGGTATATAACATCGATGGGAGATTTGAGGCCGCACATGTTCATGTTGAACTTTAAAAAACATATATTTAAGCCTATACAAATTTGCAATACATCATTATGTTAACTTGTACAAATTTTTTTTTTTTCCGAAAAGGATCATTATGTTAGAACTTGATCGTTTTAACCCTTTTGTCTTTTTTTTTTTTCCAATTATGTGTAATAACATGACTAAACTTCTTTATTTAAAAACGATAATAAAACCGACTTAAATTTAAGTTTGAAATAAAAATTCATTCTTTTACCCCTTAAAATAGTAATCTCATGGAATTGAATTTGAACTCAAATAAAATGTATAATTAATACCCTCATTGGTTAAGTTCTCATTTTTTACAGAAATTTATAATTACTATTCCCTCTATTCTTTGTTTTTACAGAAAAGTAACTTCTGACTTCAGGCTTGTATACTACTGCTTCTAGAGTTGTTAGATGGGCATTTTGGCAATTATTTGGAGCACTTTTTATATGCTTGATTTTGCACCATATCAAATTTTGTACAAGGGCACGTTACCTTGTCCAAACTAGTCTTAAACTGTTTAACACACTTATCTCCAACTAAGAAGTCATAAGTTCAAAGCTTCGCCCCTACTTGTATTGAAAAAAAAAAAAAGAAAAAAACCGTCTTCTTTTGCCCCATTTTTACAAAAACTTTCATTATCCAGTTTCAAATCTCTCATTTCTCATATGCTGCTGGTATTAGTTTCTGAAATCCACAGGAATTCGACTCGGAGATGTGTCTCCTAATGGCAGAACGGCGTTTTATCATCTGACTCAGCTCACAGAAAAATTTTCTGCTTGCTATTTTACTTCTTTGCTAGTGTAAGCTACCAGAGACAAACTTTTTCTCTTAACATCTGCCTTCAGTTATCTCTTTTTTTGTCATATGCACAAGGAACAAATGGATGTGTCTATGTACAGAATCAGTGCCTAGCTTGAAAGAAGAAATCGGATTCTTTTAAGCCATTATCATATCACATTCATAAACGTAATCCTAATCAGTGCCTATGCTTTACAAAACTATAGGAAAACAGGGCAATAGTTTGAAGGATTGCATCTTTGATTCTTGTCAATATCTCATCATCGTTTCTTTTGTTTTTTTTTTCTTTTAAATGGTATTAACATGTACTATACTACTTTCCCTTTACATAGAAAATTACAGAACCAAAGAAGGAATTACACTTAACTGTGGCCTCAAGCCCACCACCCAAATAGTAGTTCTAAATGACACTAGATTAGAGATAAGAATGAAGAGGAGCTCAAACCCTTAAAGCCACCTGGTCTTGCCATGAAATCTTTCTTTTACTTGCTCGACTCGGGCCATCTCCGATCGTCCTGCACGCCGAAATCTTGATGTCGTTGTTTTGCTGCTCGTCGCTCCCACCTCGAAGAAGGCTTTTCTTCAGCTCATTGGCTCTCAGTGGCTCGTAATGCATCTGCAGTTCCTCTTCCTCTATCTGAATTGAAACATAGAGATTTTGTTAGGGAGGGGAAGTGAAAATAACGTTTTCAGAGTGGCCAAATAAGTCTAGTCAATTACCGAAATTTGGTTCAAGTCAAAAAATGGAGTGATGTTTCTCTCGCCAGCATCTCTCCCACTGTACATTCTTTCCTTCTGGTTCAAGTCCAAAACTGGTGCCGGATTCTGTAGATTGGCTTTCTTCCTAGTAGTCTTTGCCTTCTGGTTTAAGTCAAAGACAGGAGTTGGAGTAGGATTCTTCTGCAGAGGGATATCGATTCCTCGGTCAATTTTTTCCTTTTGGTTTATATCAGAGATCGACGGAAGGGGTTGCAAAGCAGGTCTCCTTCTCGCACCATTCTTTCCCTTCTTATTGTTGTTAGTCACTTGATTATTTAGTTGCTTCTGCTGCACCTGCACGGGATCTCCATTCGAACGGTTGTTTGACGACTGGTTCTTCATTAAGTACTCATATCTCTTCCTCAAGAATCTTCAATATAAACGGACTCATAGTTAGGTCTAAACAATTCACTAAATACAATATAATATAATGTATTAATCATACCGGACTTCTGCAACCAGGGTCATCTTCTTTTGATTCATCATCTGCAATTTCCTCTTAACAGTTTCTGTTTCCTGGAAGAAGAATAAAAAATTGAAAAGAAAAAAAAAACTTTCAGCTGTTTGTTTATCCAAATAACATTCCTGAGTCTAAAACTGATGTATATGTCTCAAACTCAGAACTAGGAGTGGCAGATTTTATAAATAACCAGAACCAAATTTCCTATGGAACTTCAAAAGGCCGTGTGAGATAAAACTGAAACGAAAGACCATACAAATAAGATCAGTTGTTTAAAGTGTTGTATTTATGGAGAGTAGGGAGATAAGCACTAAACTCAGCAAGATGATCTGAAATGGTAATAAGCACAGGTTCAGAACAGAATGAAAATACCACAAGAGGTGGTCATATCAGTTTAAAGGGTATCTCAATCTCTCAGAAACAAGAAAAATAATGGATGGAAGCAAGACTAAAAGATGAATCTCCAGATAGAAAGAAAAGAATAGATGAACTTCACTCTTTTTGCCTAGAGATAGGATTTTCCAATTTCAACAACTCTTCAGAGGAAACAATCAAGCAACCAAATAGAGGATTAAAACTTAACAAAGAAACAACCAGTTCAGACACTCGGAAGAATTAGTCAGCCAAAACAATCAGATCAAACCCTCTTCCTGATCAGAAATTCAGTTCAAACCAAAAAGAAAGCAAATCTCGCAGAAAATCAGGATCTGAAGAAAACATTCAAACATCATCAAAAGAAAGCCAGATCTGATGGAAACAAGAAGAAACCCCCAATTTTACCTTCTCCAATTCGTCATAATCTTGCAGGAGACTGTGATGCTTGAATCTGGCCTTAGGATCCTCATACACAGCGTACTGGGAGACAACCCCTTTGATCTTCTTCATCGATGGGGAGGAAAAACCAGAAACCCAGAAGCGAAAATCGAAAAATCAGACGGGGAGGGAGAAGGGAAGGGGAAAGAGGGAGAGAAGAAAAGGTGGGTATGGAAGAAATTGAGAAAGTGGGCAAGGACAAAGAAGAAAGAGAGAGAGAAAGAGAAAAAGATGTAGATAGGAAGAGAGGGAGAGGGTTCTTGGTTTCCTGTTTTCTCTGTGAAGCTCTGACCGAGCCAACTAAAACCCAAAAAGGCCCACATAACTCGGTGAAAAGAAATGGTTGTTTTCAGAGACAGTGATGAGAAAGAAAGAAGTGAAGATGGGGATTTTTGGGGGTTGCAGCAGAAGGGGCAATTCAGGGAAGGGGAATTTTTAATGCGAGGTTGTGGGGGTTCTTGGTAATGGTTTGGTTGGAGGACATTAGAAGACATCTCATCTCATCTCATCTCAATTCTCATCCATCTTCGCTTTCTTTTCTCTTTTTTGGGTTTTTCTTCTACAACAAAATTGGTCCAGCTGGGCCATTAAAGAGACTCTTCCTTGTCATTGAAGGGCTGCGTGTGCGTGGAGTTTCTCTGTTTCTTCCCTCTTTGCGTACCTGTTTTTCTCAGCGACTTCTAGAGAGAGAACGGGAAACAGAACAGAACAGAACAGACGGTATTTTCCTTGGAGACAGATAGAAATTCCATCTTTTTTCTTTTGTTGCCTAAACTAAAGGCAGAAGATTAGGATGGATGGAGGGTGGCTTCTGATGCACTGTTGAAAATGGAAACGGAAGTAGCTTAGTATTGTAGGTGAGGACCGCGTTTGGTTTGGTTTGGTTTCATCTCATTTCATCGCAATCTTCTTCTGCATATATTCATGAATCTGAAACAAGGGAAGATGCTTTCCACCAATTTCTCCATTATTATTATTGTTATAACAGGTGAAGGTCAATTTATGTGAGATTACTACGATACCCCTACTTTCTCTGCAAATTCCCTTTTTTTTTTTTTTTAACCCACCCCTCAAACTCAAAACCCATAGCTTTTTCAGAGGGGGGAGAAAGCAAAGAAAAGATGGACAAATACCAAATTGTCCAAATGGGTTCTGGTTGGGGTGTGGGGTAGAGTGATAATTTGGATACACAGAGTGCCCACTTCTTTAAGTAATGGAACTTGTAATGGTGTGTGTGTTTTTTTTTTCCTTTCTAATACTTTCTGTCACGATACTTGTTTTTGTCTATGTATTTTTGAAATATTTATTTTAACATTTATATTTTTTTAAGTAATAATCAGTAGGGTGGAAATTAAACTCATGATCAAAATTTGAATCTCTATAAAAAAAAAATACGTGAATATGAATATTCAGACATGTGACCTAAGTCTTAACCTAAATTTTCTTTAATACAACATTTGATAGTGGAATTTTTTTTTTCTTTTTGAGACGAGGAGGAAAACTTATTAGAAAGAAACACCACTTTGGATTACAGTTGAAGTTTTGCTTCTGCTCACTTCACTTAAAAGCCACACAGGAAATAACTACCTCACATGATTAAAATTTGAGAGAAAATAACTTTCTTATTTAATAGATATGCTAACTTATTTTAAGAACAAATATAACTTAGATGAAAATCATCCTTGTCTGAAAGTGGAAATTAGAATTTATAACTTTTTAATCAAATATATAAATATCAGTAACCAAGTTATAACTCATAGCAAAGAAACATATCAAGTTCAGTTCCGATTATCCCCTAAAAGGAAAGAGAAAAAAATGGAAGGCCCTGATTTGTTGGGTTTTAATCTGAATCAATGGGTCCAAATTCCACATTGGTCGTTGGATTTGACACCGCATTATCTTCATCTCAAAAATCGAACCAAAAGCTTTTTTTTCCCGGCTGTCTCTGAGTTTTACGCGTTATTTTAAATATTTGCAATATGTAAATCGACATTTCCATCCTTTTAAAAACTAGCGATTAAATATAAAAAAAATATCAACAAAATATTGTTAATATATACATAATATTAATAATAATTATTTTTAATTTATTTAAAAATAGTAAAATATTTATTTGTTAATTTAAATATTTTTTATGAATTTTTTATTTCTTAAATTTCTATAGAAATATTCATTGATATCGATATTTTATGGATATTTCTACAAAGTTGAGCCTTCGACATTTAAAATCTTGACTTTACCATATTTTATCTTTAATAACCTTTAGATAAATCTTGTGATAAAAAAAATCTTTCAAATAAATTTGTAGTTGATAAGGTTAAATGTAAATTCTATGGAGAGCCACTCAAATGTTAAATTAAAAATTAGTTTTTGAATATTTTAATAGGTTAAGAGTGCGTTTGTTGGTAATTTGAGGATAAAAATCTAATTAAAATAGAGTTTTTGTGTTTCGTAGCACATTTGAAAATTGAATCTCAATTTTTAAAAAATAATTGTTTACTTACCTTTTAATATATTTGTAAACTATGGTCAACTAAATTTTAGTTATGTTTAAAATATTATCAATTAATTTATTAGAATAAATGTTATCAATTTTGTAGAATTATTATTTTACAATATCATATAATCTATTATTTATTATATTTTCCCTTTTTATTTTCAACCCAAATGAAATGAGTTTAGCATAGAATAAAATAGTATATTTATCATAGTTTTATTTTTTTTTCTAATAAAACTATACATTTTAAAGTTTCAGATCTAAAATGTAAAGAAAACATTTAAAATGCTATTTTCATAAATTTCAATCAAAGAATCCAAAAACAGTATTAATAAAACAAATATGTCACACGACCTCTGAGTAGTCGGAGATAAATGGTAAATGCTAACTAGTTGGCCATGTCCAAATTGTCAACTAATTAAAATAGATTAATGAACATGTCACGTCAATTTTTCATTAATAGTATTTAAAAAATGTAATTCATGTTATGAATTTGAATATCCTAACCTGATTTGTACTAAAAAAAAATGTGATTCATGATCAGTAAACGTGACCGAAAGGTACTTAAAAAGAAGGATAAACATAATCAAAACGTGAACGGAAAGATAATTAAAATGGTGAAAGCTTGGAATTTGTAAGGTTGATAATATATATATATATTATATAGTACAAAGCAGTAAAAATATTCATACTTTAATTAAATGTTACAGAATAGAAAAAAAATATATATACGAAAAGTACGAAAAGTAACCGTGTTTTGTAACCTCAAAATTTTGGAGAAACGATCAAAAAATTGGGTTGATGGAGAGGGCAGAGTCTGGTTTACAGACTGAAAGGAGGGTACTGCAGAAAAGTTGCTCACTACTGAGGTTTGGTTTCCCCATCTGCAACATTTTCTTTTGTCTCTTATTTACCATCCTTTCAAGTTTAAATAACAATTAATTTTAAATATTATTTTGATTCTGTAAATTAAAAGTTTAAACGTTTATTGTGAAATTTTTAAAATTATTTTCTCTGGTAAATTATATCAACTATAAAACATCTATTTCCATTGAAAATAACTAAAAACTTATGATTTCGATTTTCAATTTCTTTGATTTACAAATAGAATATATTCACTATAATATTTAATATTTTGACTAATTGAATCATACAAATTGAATAACCTTCATTTGTTCACAAATAATATATATAATCTATGTCATTTTAATTATACATTTAATAATTATTTATTACAAACATGTTGTAATATTATGTCGTTTGTCAAAACGAGTATAGTTCAATAGTAATTAACATATATCTCAAACCAATAGGTTGTGAGTTCAATCTCCCACCCTCACATGACAACAAGTCAAGCTTCCTCATGCTCGTTGACTATCCACGTTACTGAGAACCTGTGACCCGGGTGGGGCTTTTACGGGGACTAGCCCGCTTCAATCCGAGTTCGAGTCTTGAGTTGGCTACATTGGAGAGGGTTACTGTTAAACAAAAAAAGTAGGTCTCTCAAAACTTTTAAAACATATAAAATATTTGTACTCGTCTATTTTGTTGAGTATAAATTCAACAAATTTAAACCAAAACATTACCAAGTATTTGTTAAACAAAATTTTCGTAATAAGAAACGTGGCCTTTGTGTATTGGCCTGTCTTTAAGAACTATAACCGACGGGTGATGGTTGGGTGGGCGCGGTCTCTCGGAAGCGAAACTCCACTTTATAGTTTATCCTCTCGACTTTCTCCGCGGCACATTCACAGCTTTCAGAAATGGCGTCGACAATATCTCTGAGTGCTCAACTACCAAATATGCGAGGAATTTCTGATTGGAAACAACGAAGTGAGTACCAGCCTCGCTCTGTAACTCTGTCTCTTTCAGATTTTTCATTTTCTTTTGGTTGGTGAGACCGTAGGAAAACGAGGACTGTATTTTAGATTGATTGCTGTATCTCTGGATTGAATTGGTTGCTTGGAACTTGGCTCCGTCCTGTATATTATGGAGCTTTCTCACCACTCGATCAAATGGACGGATCTTAGCTGGTGCGGTTGATTAGTGTGGTGTAGTTCGTTGGGAAGATTTACCGATCGGATAAAGCTTAGACCTAAATTAAAACCGTCTGCGGTATCCTCAGCTCTTATTACTGAATGGGTTAGGTTCATTCTCTATTTGGGAATTATTGCTTTCTTTCTGGAATCGAAGTTAATTTGTGACAGATGAACGGGGAGATCCTCTTGGTTTGAACTGGAAGGCAAATGCGTTCTGGGTACGGTATTGTATAAAGAACATTAAAGAAAAAGGTTATGATCTGTAAAATTAACGTAAGAAATACTGAATTAGTTTGGAAAACCTCGAAACCTCTTAGCACTGGGGTTACTTCAAGATTTTCTACCTGAAAATACTCCATAGAGAAGGAATTATGTGAACAACCAAGACTGAAGCCGGTAGCATATAATGGATAATTAGTGATAATGCGGATGGACGAGCTGAATAAATCCCTTGTCTACTTCATTAGAACTCTCTGAAAACCTAGATATAAATGCTGTAAAACTTAGCAGGCACGATGGTTTAGAATTTCTTTATTTTGCGTCTTATAATCCAGAATATGGTACTTTGGACTATAGAGTTTTGTATGTAGCTGGAAATTCCTTGTTTATTACCAAGTTGTCGTGCTGAAATTAGAAATGAAGTCCACTTTTTGAGACATTTGATTGCACATTTTACTTAATAATGATCCAATTATGCTTTTCTGCCTACCTCTTACAGGTAACCTAAATTCAATGTCAAATATAGTTGGTGTGCGGATCACATCTCATGGTCCTTGGAAAGTTCATAAAAATAATAGATCCTTTTGTGTTTATGGTCTATTTGGAAAAAAGAAGGAGAATGAGGAGAAGAGCGATGATGCACCTTCAAAGGTAGAATTTACTTTGCAATATGGTTAACACGATATAAATTTTTGATATCATGGTTAAATTTGTCACTCTCAGTCTCAGTAATTGAGAGACCAAACAGAAATGTCTTTCAAAGTTGAGAATGGAAAGAGGTTTTCTCTGCAAGTAAGATTCTAGTTACTTACATGCTAACCCTTTTTAGGCAGGAATATTCGGAAACATGCAGAACTTATACGAGACTGTGAAGAAGGCGCAAATGGTTGTCCAAGTAGAGGCAGTGCGTGTACAAAAAGAACTTGCAGCGTAAGACTAAACATGTTAAATAAATGTATTGTCACTTTCAGACATTTTTCTCTGTTTTATGAAGTCGTTGTTTTAACTTTTCTTTTTTCTTCCGTGTTTCTGTTCTCCAGGGCAGAGTTTGATGGCTACTGCGAAGGAGAGCTAATTAAGGTATGTTCTGCCTGCTCTCTCTCTTGCATTAAGTCCATCTCCACTTTGTCAAACACTATGCTATTACATCGGTGGTTGGTGAAGTGAACATGGGTTACATTTCGCTAAGATTTTAGAAGACCTTTTTCCCCTAAATTTTAGGTGGCTAGTAAATAATTACAGATTCCAGACTAATGACACATATTTATTATTATTGGTATTATTTGCCTTAGTTTCATGTATTACTTAGAGGGAAGAAGAAGAACTGGTCTAGAGTTTTTTATTACCAATTTAGTGGATTAATGTTTAGTTAGTTATCAAACTTAAGCCAATTTTCTTATATTCAACAAGTCACTATGGATTCCAAATCTCTTGCTTGGGGCCATCTTCTCCAGATATTAAATATCTCTTTAGTTTGCAGTATCAACTATTAATTGATAGTTCCAGTCTTGATCCCCGTGGATAATTTCGAAAGAGATAAAGTCATGATTTATTGAAATAATTATAGAAGTACTGAGCTCATGGCCAAGGGTTATGGATTTGGCAATTGGTTTCATGCAAAATTTGTGGCCTAACGTTGCCTTTTCATTTAATGAGAATTATGATACTAGAGAAGGGGTCCATATCATGTTTGCATGTCACCACGTATCTGGCCTCATATTTTCTCTGTCAACTAATTTAGGTGACGTTATCTGGGAATCAACAACCTGTTCGCACGGAGATCACTGAGGCTGCAATGAAATTAGGACCAGAAGTGAGTATTCACAATGCTGTAGTGCACTCTAACATTTGACTTTGCATTGCTCCTAATAAAGCATCCTCACAGGCCACAACTTAATACTGCACTACCTGTCCTGTCCTCAATCCAAGTTTGGAGTATATCTCCTTCAATGTTGGTGCCTGGTGGTATTATGGCTCTTGTGCCTCATGAGTTTGAGATTTGGATGGCTATTGAGCTTGGGTCCTCCATGGGGACTCGGCTAAAAAATAAATCGAATACGCATAAATTATTCCTTAAGAATATTGTTTTCAGTAACATTGTAATTTATGGTTGTATAATTTTTCTTGAATGGGTGGTTTCTACTTTCAATGGTGGAAGACTAACCATTAAGTTTTATGATTGGGTTTAATGGTAGATATTCCAAATATTCAAAACTTTACATTCTTTTGCAGAAACTGTCCCTTCTAGTCACCGAAGCATACAAGGACGCACACCAGAAGAGTGTTCAGGTTTGAAGACTCACTCTGATGGTAGTTGAATTACCAAGTTTTAGTTTCTGCTGAACTGACTGTTGGTCCTTTGATTCTCAGGCCATGAAGCTAAGAATGAATGATCTTGCCCAGAGCTTAGGTATGCCCCAGGGCCTCAATGAGGGATTGAAGTAGACATTTTTATGTCTGTCGAGCTTCAGTTTTGTAAATGCAGGAGCGGAACGACTTAATTGTAATCTGACCTTGGCAGAAAATTCCATTTTAGTTTTTACTGGTGAACTAAATGTTTGGAAACCTTGTTCTCCATCTCTAAATGTAAAACAGACATCTGTGATATTTATTGTGGAATCAGAACGAAGAATGAAAAGTACAAGACGAGTATTCAAATTGGAATCTTCTATACAAGCGATATCAGCACTGGCAATTGAGTTCGCTGAAGGGGGAACATATTAAGATATTTGGCAATGTATGGACATTTTATTTCTTGGAAAGAAAGAGCTTTAAACTTCTACTTTGCAGAAGATAATCATTGGCAAATGTTAGTAATCTTAGTTCAACCTTTTCATCTGCGGACTTGAAATGGGTAATGACATTGACATGGCGTAGCCAATATAATTTAGAATGAATACAATTCTAGTTCCCTACACCCCAGCATTGCTGTACTGGAATTGTTGCGAAATAATGACCAATATCTGGAAACGAGACAAATGACCAATTACTTGTTCTGTGTTCATTGCTCTGTTTCTCTGCAGATAAATCAAGATCTTGGAAGATGTTTTCCTGATAGAAACGATCTGAAAAGTGTCACAGCTCTCTGTGGCTGGATCAGTGGAACCTCATGGCCAGCTCCTCTCACTGTGGCAAAGGTTAGCCCATCATAAACCTCTGTCCATCCACCCACCTGACAAGTACATTTCATTTGTTTAAAGCCTTTCATTCAAACTGAAAACAGACGTGAACAAAAAAAAAAGCAGGGTTTTCAGAAGTAAACCTGTCCTCTGGAGTACCATGGATACCAGCGAGTTTTGATGGAGAGGTTAAGATGGCTGAGGGCGAATCTGGTGGCTGTCACTGGAACCACTGAATCGGTATCCCCACTGCATTTTTCCACATATAAAAGTCACATTAAAGGGAAACTTTTACCTCTCTTTACTTGGGAACTTTAGTAGAATTATGTAAAACCTTCTCTACACTTCAATTTGTATGCATATGGAAGGAAAAACAGAGAATGAGATGCTGGGAAAGTGAATAAGAGGATAAAAGAAGGATTTATGTGGAAAGATCAGAGCTTTTCAAACCAAACCTAAAGACCCATATCCTGAGACCAGTTGCAATCAGCTCCTTGTACGTGGGCAACATGGATTCTTGGGTATCCTTCCAGTTTTTGAGCAGAATATCACTGCCCCAAAAAGGAAAAACAAAACTTTATTGGTGAAGGAGATAAGTTTTGGCCAAAGACACAGAAACTAGCAAAACCCACCTGCAAGCAGTCCATTTGTAGGGAATTCCAGTAACATTGGCATGCATTGCCAACTGAACCTCCTTAAGATTATAATACTTCTCTGCATAATTCTCAGTACATGGATCATACCCTGACACCCTCCGCCGGAGAAGAGAGCTTTTGAATCTGAAGGTTGAGGTTGTTGCCACCGTGTTGTTGGGAATGACGGAGGGGCATCTGGGAGTGTAGATACTGTACTGATCAACATTGCCGAACTCGTGGTTCATGGCGTAGCTAACAACATGGTCGCATTGCTCGGAAGTCTTGTCGGAGGTGAAGTTGCAGTGCTTAAGGATGGAGTTGTAGGTTGTGTCTGATATCATGGCATGGCTCCACCAATACGTCACCGTTCCAAGGGCGTCGAGGTTCATATCCGTTACTGCATTTCCCACCTGCATTTTCAAAACTTAACTACAAATTCCACCGGTTCCTATGATACTCCTACTAATCCAATGTAGTAATTTTCCGTTCTTACAATGAAGCCTTTGAGGTTGATGAAGGAGTGAGAGTGTGCTTTGTTGTAGTCGATAATCTTCTTTGCCAGTTGTGGAACGTAGTGTCCTATACGTCGCAAAGATTAGATTCTTTGCAATGTTCAAGAATATATTGAAAAGATTAAATTTTACCCGAGTGGATTTACCTGCATAACTCTCCCCAGAAATGAAGAATTCTCTGTATTTGTATTGCGGGAATCTAGACATCCATCGGATAAGGAAAACAAGAGCATCTTGAGCTGTTCGGTTGTCACCGGAATCTTCGAGGTCGGAGGTGGTATTGGTGTAAGAGAATCCAACTCCGGCAGGTGATTCCAGAAACAGCAGATTTGCATCTGCAGAGAAATGGTGTTTCTGTAAAGAGATTTTGATCAAAAGGGAGAGGAATTAGAGAATGTAATAGACCTTTGTTCCATGAGTATTTGTTTAGATAAAGAGAAGAAGCAGTTTTGTTGATTCTGAATGGCCCAATTTCCTCCGATGCTCCATATGCTATTGATGAACAACCTGGTCCTGTGTATATCACCAAACCCTCAAAAAGTGCTTTTACAAACCTTTATTCTTTTTCCTAAAATTATATTACTTTATCAAAACTGCTTCTAAAAATATGCAGTATAACTTTTAAGATAAAAACAAACCATTCTTTTTTTTTTTTTT